TGACCTCAGCAGGGTCTAATGCCATAGAGCCCACCCGCCAAAGCAGCCGTTTTCTTCAGGGGGAGCTGATCTTGGTTGTCTGGAGATCAATTGTAATAGCTGGAAATCTCCAGGTACCACCTGTAGGTTGGGAACCCTAACTGGGATAGAATGTGTCCTTTGCATGTACAAAGTCCTGGGTTCAGTTCCTGGCATCTTGAGCAAAAAGATCTGAGATCTCAGAAGTTGGAGCAAGCCTTTCTCTGGCCCAGGAGAGCTTCTGCCAGTCAGAAACAGAAAATACGGAGAAAGATGGTCTGATGCCGGAAGGCAACGTCTTATGATGAAAAATAAGTATTCATCAAGGCAGACCTTTTAATTTGTTGCTATAGAGTCCAGGCAAGATTTCATGCTGAAGTTCTGAGTAGGCGCCTGCTTCCCCAGTGGAGTGTCACAGTGTCACCTTGACACAATTGTTCCTAAATACTTCTGCTTCCTCTCGCTCACACAGACCCCAAAACGTGCCAGGCTATTGCCTGACTTGAATCAAGCACTTAATCAACGGTTTCTGGAAAGGTTCTCATTTCTCCTGGGGACTAGAGACTAATACTGCCTTCATTCACTTCATGATGTGCATCAGGAGAAGAGGGGCTTGGCTTCCCTATGGGGAGCTCATCCAGCTTCTATGAACTGCCTGGGCTTTGGAGAACCAAAAAAGGTGGGCCTCAAATGTAAACTGTTGTTCATTCTGGGGGCACTTGATACATTCCACAACTTGTTTCTATGCACATGCCTATTGGACCAAAATGTGACACGTGCTCTCAGCCTGCAGCTGCATACTTTAAGCAAATAAGAGATGTGATTTGGTAAAGGCATCATTTAAAAAAAAATCGGTATAGAGTTTTGTCCCTGTTTCTGTCATAAGGTGGACAGCCTCCAGGTGGGGCCTGGAGATCTCCCACTGATCTCCAGCTGACAGAGATCAGCTCCCCTAGAGAAAATGGCTGCTTTGAAGGGTGGACTCTATGGCATTGTCCCGTGCTGAGCCATCTCCCCTCCCCAAACCCTGCCCTCTCCTGGATCCACCCCCAAAGTCTCCAGGTATTTTTCAACCCAGACCTGGCAACCCTATTCTGTCATAATTTTTTATAATTTTTTAATTATGGCTAGAGGCCTCAAAAGCTGGTAGTGGCCTGGACCTCTCTGGACCTCTGACAGGGCCTGGGGGTAGACTTGGAGGGGGGAGATCTTGTTCTCCAGTGGGAGACCTCCTTTCTGGGTCCCGTGTTCCCTGCTGCCACTCAACAAGCCAGTGCGGGGAATATGGGGGGGGAATGGCATCTCCCCAGCAGCGCAACATCATGGCTATATGGGGGTGACACTTCAGGATTCACCCCAACCTCTGTGGTTTTACCATAGAATTTCAGGCAAATGCTAGAACATTCCCCCAATGTATTGGGGTCACTTCTGGCAACACTGGGGATGCTGGAACTTGTATATTCCTCCCCTCAAAAAAAGTTCCCATGAGTTCCTTAGGGTAGAGGCAGATCTGATGATCCCAAGGAAGACTGACACTTGTCAGTGGGCCCGATGACCTACTGCTGTCACCCAAGGAGTAAAGGAGGGCCGGCTGTGATTGGTGCTGCTATGCAGTGTTTGGCCTTCCTGAGGCTCGGGAGAGGTTGTTTGTGGCCCACCAATGCTGACCGTTGAGATCTGCAACAAGTCTTATGAAGACACTGGTGGTTGGACTTGGACTCTCGAAAGAGCTTTGTTACCAGTTGTTTAAAATACCTGCCCCCCAAGGGTGTGAGGCTCACGTCACAGGGGAGCATGTGCCGAAAGCCAGGACACAGTGCTTCCTGTTCAGCATCCAAGGGCCAATTTATATATGAGTTATCCACCACCATTGTATCAATTGGTCCCTGGATGGTGGAGAAAAGTGCCGCCAAGTTGCAGCCGACTTATGGCAACCCTATAGGGTTTTCAAGGCAAGAGACGAATGAATGTGGTCTGTCATTGCCTGCCTCTGTATAGCAACCCTGGGCTTCTTTGGAGGTTTCCCATCCAAGACTAACCAGGGCTGACCCTGCTTAGCTTCTAAAATCTGACGAGATCGGACTAGCCCGAACCTCTGAGGTCAGGGAAGTCCTTGGATGCTGTAAGGGAAACCCAAAAGCTCTAGATGCAGTGCTAGGCCTCATCCTGTCCTGCTCCATCATCTTCAACAGACTTCTGTCTTCTTTTTAAAAAACAAACAACCCCTCTCCTCAGGAAGGAAAGATGAGAGCGAGGAGCTACTCTTGGAGAGTAAAAGCCCAATCTCTCTTCTGAAGGAGCTGAAAGGGAGAAGGGGTTGGATGAGGGGAGGCCGCAGGCTGGGAACCTGGAGCAGGCTCTGGGCCTGGCTGAGTTGCCTGGCAGCGCACCCACAGCAACCCCAGCCTTTCCTCCTCAGAGCTGCTCTGAACAGGGTGAGCTGTGCCTCGGCTGGAGGCAGAGACAAAGACAGAGATGGACACGGCAAGTGGCCCCAGCAGGGCTCCGACAGAGGAGGCGAGTTACGACCAAGAGGTGTCTGGTGATGAGAAGGACACCACCCATACCCGGAAGGTGCTCCAAGGCACCACAATGCTTGGCAAATAAGCTCAACTCCTTTAAGGATGTCTATGCATACGTGCACGGATGTGAAATGATTAGAATAAAATTTAATCTCTTGTCTATTGGGGAGGCCGCAGGCTGGGAACCTGGAGCAGTGGCCCCAGCAGGGCTCTGACAGAGGAGGCGAGTTATGACCTAGAGGTGTCTGGTGATGAGACACCACCCATACCTGGAAGGTGCTCCAAGGCACCACAATGCTTGGCAAATAAGCTCAACTCCTTTAAGGATGTCTATGCATACGTGCACGGATGTGAAATGATTAGAATAACATTTAATCTCTTGTCTATTGGATGTCCCTCCTCAGCAGACGCAAACCATAGAGTTCCCCCTCGGATGACCGTGGCCCCACCCCCAGCATGCCCGGCGTGGTCGTGTCACTTCCGGGTGACGTGCACATCGCGTGCTTTGGGGGTGGGGTTCCCCCTGGGGCCCGATCCACTGGCAGCGGGGAACGGGCCTCTGGGGTGGGGGTTTCCCTGCCCCCTGGGGGGACTTGGCAAGCCTAGTCATTCCACACCCTGAGATCAAATTCTTGTTGCCACAAGTTTTCAGATGGGGTGGGGTGCACCTGTTCAGTGCCGGGACAGACATTTTTTTAGCTGATCTGTGGGGTGGTATGTGTGGCCTGTTGGTACCATGGTTGGCGGGAGGGGAATTAAACCAAGGCTAACCCCCTCTGAGGCAGGAAAAGCACGAGTTGAGGGCATTTTGAGTTGGCAAGCACCCTGAGATATCAGCGGGGTTTTTTTTGCTCAAGCTGGGTACCTACAGGCTTGGCAGTCAGGGTGGCTCAGTTGGGGGCCCCTTTGGGGTTGGTGGGAGCATACAACAGGCCTCCACCCCCTCTATGTACTGGCATGTGAGCCGTGACGGGTAAGGTCTGGAAGGATTCCAGACCTGGCTCTGAGCCAGGGTGGGTTTGCCCAGTTAGGAAGCTTGCTTGCAAGCACAACACAACCTGTGCTTTAACGTGTTAATAACTGCTGCAGATCAGCTTATGTACACATAATATTCCCAGTTTAACCCATAACTGGTGGTGTGTTTCATTCAAGGGGTGGGAGGGCAATGGAATGTGCCCTTCCCTTCTTTTGGACTAGATGGACCCTTAGCCTAA